TAGTAGCAATAATAATGGCATTAAAAATAACAATAATAGTGAAAATGGTTTAAATGAAATAAAAGATCCTTTTGCTGTGATGGTAAATGGTCATAACAGTGCGCGGTCAGTTACATAGCCTCCCACTGTGTTAACAGATTGTTGCTTTCAGTATTTTTTAAAATTTTTCCAAAAAAGATTTAAGTAAAATAGAATATTTTGTCAATTCTCTTTTTTTAAACAAATTATCCTTAACTGATTCAAAAACGATAAAAGAATAAAGAATGAAGAATAAAGATACAGTTAGTAAGCGCGAGGTTGCTACTGTTGTCTTCTAGCTTATCTGTCGCTCTTCAACAATTATTTAGTTTTTCTAATGTTTTATATAGTTCTTCAACAAGTTTGAGCAGTTGATTTGATGAGAAAGAGACATTCAAAGAAAGAAAAAAAAATTTTTTTTCCTGGCACATATAAGTTCAGTTATTCAGAATATTCTCGTAAAATTTAAACTAAAAATTTTCCTATTTCTTCTTTCTTCTTCTTCAAAAAAAGTTATTTAACTATTTTTTCTATGTCAATATTTCGTTTAAATTTTTGATGGCTATTCAGCGCGAAATTTGTTAAGAAAAAAATACAAAATGTGTTGTGCAGTTTTAGAAAAAAAAGGAAAGGAAGAGGAAAAGGGAAGAAAATTGTTGTCTTTGTTGTTGTTTCTTTTTGTCGTACTTTTTTTTGTTATCGTTATTGTCGAGAAGTACGTTGGAGAGAGAAACTGTTGTTAGTAATATAATACTCGTATAATGCTTATATTATAGAGGTAACCTACCGACAACTATTGCTGATACTTATCTGACAACAATGGTATATGTGTATTTAATAAGGTCGAGAAAAAAAAAGATAAGAAAAAAGAAGGAGGGACGAGGAGGAGGCGGTGGCAATAACGACAACAACAACGAAAGTAAGGGTCGAAGCAAAATGTTCTTATAACTATCGTTTTTAACGGTGAAAATTTACCGAATGGGTGTAAAAGAATCGGTTTCGGAAGAATAAGTTTCTTTTGTTAAAATGCAATGGATAAAAATTTGGAGTGTTTAAAAAAAAAAACAAAAAAAAAAACCTTTTTTTTTCTTTGTAACAACGGTACCGAATTGTTGAATATGAAATGTCAACAGTAAGTGAGAACGAAGTTTTTTATAAAAATTATTATTTTAATTCTTATTGCTGTTGTTGTCATTGTTATTAACATTAATATTATATTTATTTTCATTATTGGTGGCAGTAGCGGCAGTAACTTAGTCGATGTCACCAGTACAAAAAAAGAGTCTGAGCTTTCATCAATATCTTACATCGTTGGATCGTCTGACTTGACAGCAATGGTGGATGAAGGAGAAACTGATGTATTACATCTGTATAACTCTGCAACTATCAAGTTTACTTTTACTTCCCGACCCATCGTCGGCCACACCTTTGTAAATACAATGAAGTTTAGACTTTGTCTGAACAACGCCCAACAACTACAACAGCAGTAAAATCATCGCCATCGTTACCGTTCATCGTCGTCATCGTCAATCTCTGTTGTCATCATCGTCATCGCCACTACTATCGTCAAACCATCTGGTGTCGTTAATTTTAGTTCAACGCTGGTCTTCCGTTATATTCCAAATTCATGATTCCAGGCAGCTGTTTTTACTTAGCTATAATAATTATTTTTAGTTTGTCTTACCATTCTGCTTCATTAGTCTATTTGCAAAATCCATCTGTAGTTTCTATTATAACGCCATTAAAGTACGATTTAACTCTACAGGTTCCAGTTAACAGTGATGAGCACACAGGCGATCCGTCATTTATTGGCTCATTAACTTTTGAATTCCAACTTAATCACTTGGCTGAACATTCCAAATATTCTTATACATATGTGAGTCAACCAGCTATGCCATCTAGACCGTCATTTCCAATTTCTGAAGTGTCTATGAATGCCATCAGCAATGACGAACAGAATCCAGTGTCTGGAACCAATCGACAAGATGCCAACAACATTTCTCGAAATATTACATTTGATACCCTAATTACTGAGACTAGATTTGGTGCGGCAGGGCTGCCAAATTTCGAATTTACTCAAGACCGTAGTCTGGAAGTAAACAGTGTTACTGGAAGTTCTGTTTACGTAACGCCATCAAATGGATCTGTAAAGTTAAGCGCAAGAAACTTAACACATTTTGAAAACGTTACATTAAGTTCTAACTCTGAAAAGTTTACTATTATCGGAATAAGATCTGACGAAAATGATGTAGAATTTATAACGGATAGACAGTTACCGTCTGGACGATATATATTGCATATCGAGCAGTATATGGGCAAATTCGAGAATTCGACTGGTTTATATTTTCGGTTAGCAGTTGAATTAAAACCAAACTTGTGAAGTTCTTGTTATTAAAAATAAGTTTTTAATTGCTGCATTTACGGTTTTTTAGCAAACTGATTAGGCAAAAATTTTAGTCAACAATTTATCAAAAAGAAGTAAAAAAAAAAAGGAAGAAAAAGTAGAGAGCATTCACAAAACTTGGTTTTTTTTATACGTAATTCTTCTTACTAAATTCTGTCAAATACTTCAGTTGAATGCAACAGAATTGATGGTAAATTCAGTTTTTTCTTCTTACGCTTTCTCTTTTGTCTACCGTTTATTTAATAACCGTTATGAAGCTGTATGAATAATAAGTGAAAGTTATCTGAATCGGCAGCTGCAGTTACGAACTCTTTTCTTTTTGTAAGAGGAAGATAAAGAAGAAAGAATAGGTCTGAAGGCGGAAATAGGAAGGAGATAGTCAAAACTAGAGAGATGATGGGAAAGGTGATAATAGCTGTGAATTCTCATCAGTAGTTTAGTTTTGCTTGTTCTGTTGTTGAAACAAAAGAAGAACAGTTGTACAAAAAAACCTGTTTGAGCTGTTTGTTAGCTGAAAGATATTTGTGGATAATCGGAAGCTCTCGTTAAAATTTGTTTGCTCATTTTTATTTCGTCTTTCTGTTTCTCTTCTGTTTCTTCCTGTTCCTCTGATTTTATTTTACATTGCTGAAAGACTAGAGAAAAAAGGCAAAAAATGAAAAGTAATAAAGAGCTGGAAGATGAAGGTTACTGAAGATGTAGTTTCTTGAAATGTTGTTCAAATGCAGTTATGTTTACATATAACTCGAACTATTTGGTGAACAAACATACACGTAAATGTGCAAAAAAAAAATCTTTAAATATATAATCTTCCAAATTGCATTTTTGCTTAATATATCCTAAAGCAATTTTTTTTTTTACCACAGGTTAAATTTAGTAAAAATAATAAAATAATTTTTTTTAGAAGAAATTAGGTGTATTTTTTACCTGTTTTTTTAGCAGATACGATATTTACAAAGTTTTGCAAAAATACTGATAGATATAACGTGAAAAAAAAGGAAAAAAAAAAAGGAAAAAAGAGTTTAATACAGCTTTGAAATTTTGACTCAAACAACAAAAGTGTTAGGAAGACTAAATTGCTCGTCTTGTAGAATTGATCCAATCGGATTTGTCGGCCGTGGAGAACGGAGTAAGGATAAATTAAGAAGAAGAATGAGAGAAGAAGAATGCTAGAAATTTGAAAAAATCAAAAAGTTTTTTTTTTTCTTCTGGATTTTTAGTACGTGTGAAAAATTTTCAGTTCTCAAAGTTTTTTATCGTTTGTTCAATTTTTTATGTTTTTTTTTTGCATTTTATGAATAATTTCTTTATTTATTTTATGCTGAGACAAAATGTTTAGAACAACTTAGCTGTAAGGCAGAAGCTTGTTGTTGTCAAAAATGTTTTTCGAAAGACAGAAAGAATAAAACTAACTACGAAAAAAAAAAACAGAACGAAAAGTTGGGTTTAGTTAAAATAGCAAGATAAATATTTAAAAATTATTTCCTCTTTTACAAAAGTCTATGTTTCTTCAGTTTTTTTTATTTTTCAGAAATATCGCTGATACCAGTTCGATCATCTCGACAAATCTGTTTCCAAACTTTGCTAGCTCAATATTTCCTTGTTTAGACAATTTTTCTGCTCGATCACAATTTCAGCTTACATTAATTCATCCGATCAACACAACGGCACTTTCAAATACGCCTGTGATAGGTTCAAGCATCTTCTTATAATTTATACACTTTCCATTTCTATTATACTAGTGCTGTCAATGACAGAATCTATAACATTAAAGGTTTAATTTAATTTAACAGTAATTTTCAAACAAGAAAAAAGAAGTTCAAAAAATTGTTACACTGAACTTTATCTCTTTTTTTTCTTTTGCTTACAGCTGTTGTAAACAGTTTGAGAGAAATGTTTTTTTTGGGTCAGCTTGTTACTGTAGCGATTATTGTCTAAGAAAATTACAGTTATCTAACAGCTATTGTTATATGTAACCAGTGAAAAGAATATGTTATTCTAGGTACACCAGAACCTGTTGATGACCTCTGGATGAGTACCAGGTTTGCGGTAACACCACAAATCCCGGTACATTTATTCGGCTTTACAATCATTCCAGAGGAGTACAAGGTTAAAATGCCTTATTACAACTTTTCTAGCTAATATCAAATTTTTTTCTTTGTTGTTGCTGCCTGACTTGAATTTCGTTACCATCGGCTTTGGTTTTTTTTTTTTTT